GTCGCCTTTGGAGCTTCCGTTGCACATTCATATCTTGTCTAGAAAGTCTTCTGTCCTCTCCATAGAGCTTCCCCGGCGACGACTAGGCTTCCGTCATAAGCAAGGTGATTCTAAGATCTCTTCGCATGTTACAAGCAACAAAAGGAACTCCACCCTTGATGAAGGAGTTGGCGCGGAACGCTAACCGACGACCACGTCAGAAGGTAACGATCAACGCGGGGCGCTGATCACGTGACTGACATCCCGCCAAGGCTAACCATCCGGGATGGCAGAGCCACTTGGGATGGCGGAACCATCACGAACATCCCTCACACTCGGGATGGACAGGATGGCAGGAACAGATTGCAATGGGTATAAAGGATGGACGGATTTCATTATTACACTCGTTGTGGTCAACTCAAATAGTTCATCTCTCACACAGATTGTCAACTAGTTATTCTATCATTCATAGAATTAGTATTGTTTATCCTTTGGTTACAACGATAACTCTTTTCCACCTGATCATTCCATACGATACCTCACGGACTACCGCTTTAGTCTACCTCGCCTTAGTACGGACCGAGTCAAGAGAAGTATAGCCTAACCCCGTGTAACATCGCATCAATACAAGGGAATGGTCATCGATACCGATCAGCGGATGGGCACGATGTCTGGACTGGCCAGCGTACTTGTTTTGAAGGCTGAACACGGAATCGAGCATCGCTTGGCTCTCATACCAGAAGGCGTTGTGACATATTCAAGGACAACGACGGGTCATGTTTCCGTTTCGACTAGATTGGACACAGTTTGCACGACCCACGCGTATCAGATAGACGAGCTTTTGGGACGGCTGATAGACAACGGAAGTTTGCAGAGCAAGCTTTTCCTGTGCTACCTTCATGCACTTACTTCGCACTGCCTGCCAGACGTCCTGACCGGCCATACTGGGACTGAGGCTGCACTACTGATCTTACGGTCAGGCGCAGTATCATCCTTCGACGTGCTGACATCGGCCAATATTGGTCTTCTCAAGTCTATCGCTCGACTGACACCAGGACGGATGTTCTATCCTTCTCATAAGGAGGTCATGCAAGAGGTCCATTGGGACAAAAACCTGACCTCTTTATCTCAGCACCCCGGCTTCTATATGGCGGTCGACAGACTATTCTCCATATCAAAGAGAACGAAGCTGCTTCATTCTAGCGACATCTATGTAGATCCACCGAAGCTAGACTTTCTGAAGCTTCACCTGCTTGAGAGAGACATGATAAGAACATCGTATGTCCGCGTTGACGGCTTTGGCGCAGAATACCATACCCTTACTTTTGATCAGGGTTATGAAGTCAGAGCTAGCGTTGCCGACCCGCAACGGGGACCGCGTGGTGCTGTTGCCGCTGAACTGATTTTCCGCAGGCAGGCTACTCTCCACTCTCCCGTCCATGCGCATAGCCTCCTGAATTCCCTTCGAACAATTCATCTGCATGATGCCATAGTCCGAGGTCACAACGCAGTATTAGAGCCACCCACGCTTCGTTACAACGCTTCATGGCTCGCGGAGCCATCTTCCTTCCTTCCAGACATGTGGTGCAACCTGCACTCGTGGCTTGCGACAACGCGTTCGTATTATAGCAAGTTCGATCTGATGATTTGGTTGTCAACTGCAGCGTTTGCGGAATCCGCAGACATGTGTTACACGGGGTTAGGCTATACTTCTCTAAGCTCGATCCGTACTAAGGCGAGATAGACTAAAGCGGTAGTCCGTGAGGTATCGTATGGAATGATCAGGTGGAAAAGAGTTATCGTTGTAACCAAAGGATAAACAACACCAATTCTATAAACGATAGAATAACTAGTTGACAATCTGTGTGAGAGATGAACTATTTGAGTTGACCACAACGAGTGTAATAATGAAATTCGTCCATCCTTTATACCCATTGCAATCTGTACTTGTCCTCCCTGTCCTCCCTTCCAAGAGGGAGGTACGGGAGGACTGTGGCTTCCCAATCCTCACTGGCCTCCCGGAGGCCAGGTCTTGGCGGGATGCCATCCCTGTCACGTGATCCAGGCCCCGCCTTGGATCCACATTCTTCCATCGTGTCCGCCCGATGGTCTCTCTTTATGCGACCTGCATCAAAGAAGAAACATTCCTTGTTGCCTTGTAACAGCATGGATGTCATCCAAGCCCTGGCCGCATTCTATAATTGCTCTGATCTAGCACCAATCGAAATTCCTTCGGGCGCCAGCTTCGACTTAGCAGAAGGAGATTCTCCTGCTTTATCTACCATTCAGAATCTGGTACAGATATATCAACCTTACGAAGTTTGTCCTGAGTATGACTTACCACAGCTGCCCGGCGAGCAGAATTGGCAATGGGACAGGAGAAGAAGAACACTCTTTGAGATGCATCAGAGCAACGCTGTCAAGACCTTCGCACGCGCACTCCACAACCAGTGGCCCTGTGAGATACCAAGTACACCACGTACTCAGTTTGCGGAAACATACCTGGATACTGAGAGGGCTATGTCGGAGGTTCGGCGCATGTTCAAAATCTGGTACGATAACCGTTGCTTTTATCGATACCTTGAGAACATCTCATCGACTCTGGCACGACAAGATGTTGACCCTTTGAGGATCAGAGACAACCGCGTCGTTTATGTGCGCGAGAATTGTGGAGATATACATGAATCCTCTTTCTACAGTGTCAAAGACATCTTCAGCTTAGAGGCGCCGGCATCAGCGGCATTTTGTAAGTCTACCCCAGCACGGTACACTACAGGCAACTCGGATACGCGTTTACTGGGTGCGCTTCGTCAACTTCTTAACGTCATCCTCTCCCACACACCATACTAATATGATGTATAGCATCGAGCCCTACCGACTTGTGCTTGTCAATGTTGCCGACGCCGCTCCCAAAATTGACGGAGCAGCGAGCCGAAGATCAAAGTATCGATCAAGCCAGGATGCGGCTCACGTCGCTTTTCCAAAAGCTTAGACCTGGTGCAAAGTCTCCACGTGAGAAGGATTACCTCTTGGACTTATACGCAAGTTGCGACTCGCTTGCACTCCACAGAAAACCACCCCAAATATGTGCGGACATGACACAAAGCGAGCTCTGCAGGCTCGTGGAGAGATACGTGCAGGATTGCCAGCAGTATCTCGATGATACGAGCTCCCTCCTACAAAACCTTGTTCACACAGGCGATGGGGTTGCGGCCAAAATAGGCCAATCACCCCGAGTCTCCCCCATATTCTGGCTTCGTCAGTTGAATAGAGATCGCTTCGATACCCTGACTGAGGCTTGGAAAGTAGTAGTCATTCAGTATGGTCTTGCCTTGACCCAGCTCCAGCGCGCCAGGAGACTTCTGGCAGTTTCTCTTCACCCACAGGAGTTTGCCGAAGAGTTGTACAACCGTGGGCACCAGAATTGGAAACCCATGGAGTTTCCTGAGACGTTGCTGGTTGAGGCCGAGAGTGGTCTACTAGTCCGCGAGGTGCAGGAAGAAATCGCAAAACGGATGCGATGCCCACCAAAGCATGCAAACTCCGTTATGCAATTCAACATGGGAGAGGGAAAGTCCTCCGTCGTCGTCCCGATCATCGCTGCCTATCTGGCTCAAGGCGACTTGTGAGTGATCCTGTCCGCGTTGTATACCTTCCACCGTACTGACTCCCGCCGATAAAGGCTTGTCAGAGTCATTGTTGCAAAGTCGCAGTCACGACAGATGTTTCAAATGCTGGTCGCAAAGCTCGGCGGGCTGCTCAACAGGAGAATCTACCATATGCCGTTCTCTAGAGCCCTTAAACTCAGTCCCTCCGAAGCTGATGCTATTGGCGAGATGTTACAAGAATGCAGGGATAACCGCGGTATTCTGCTCGTCCAACCTGAACACATCTTGTCCTTCAAGCTTATGGGCATCGAGTGCCTCCTCAGCGGGCAGCCTGACGTAGCAAGGTCACTTTTGCCAACTCAGCGTTTCTTCGACACACACTCCCGGGACGTTGTCGATGAAAGTGACGAGAATTTCAGTGTCAAGTTTGAGTTGGTGTACACAATGGGTACGTGCCGCAACCAACTGTCACTGCTAAATTTCGCTGTGTCTACCTAAAAGGATTGATCAGTATCAGCCTGCTAAGTCGCGGCGTCACATGTTTACGTCGTCTTGAGTCCTCATACTGACCTATCTTCAGGTACCCAAGCGCCAATACAGCTCAGTCCAGACAGATGGATCATAATCCACTCACTCTTGGGATTGGTCACCAGATACGCCGCCGATGTCAAGAAAATGTTTCCCTCTTCGATTGAATTCAACAAACACCAGGCGTCACAGTATCCTCGCACGCGCATTCTCCGTGGTGATGCAGAAGAAAAGCTACTGGACCTGATCTCCGAACACATATGCACGGTCGGCATCTCAGGTCTTCTTTTCATAGCGCGGCAGCCTTCCAAGATAAGACGGACTATCCTACGCTACATCCGCCAGCGTAATCTCACCCCTGCAGACGTTGACGCAGTTGAAAAGGAAAATTTCTTCACAGAAACTACCAAAGGCCCGCTGCTCCTCTTGCGGGGTCTCATTGCAGGTGGTGTGCTAAGCTTTGCGCTAAAGTCTAAGCGATGGAGGGTCAATTACGGTATCGATTCCAGCCGCAAACCAAAAACCCAGTTAGCTGTGCCATACCGCTCGAAAGACAGTCCGTCGCCCCGGTCCGAGTTCAGTCATCCGGATGTGGTCATCACGCTCACGTCACTTACCTATTACTATGGCGGTCTAGATGATCAGGATCTCTTTGACACGTTTGCACATCTCGAAAAGTCGGATCAATCCGATGTTGAGTACGGAATATGGGTCCGCTCGGCAAGAGCTCTTCCCGAGGCCTTCCAGCATCTCACGGGTATCAACATTAAAGATCGTCATCAGTGCATCGCGGAGATATTCCCATCGCTTCGTTATTCGAAAGGTGCCATCGATTA